CATGAATTATGAATAGAGCCGACATTAGCATCCATCTGGAGAATGGCGACTATGGAGTTGTATTGTTATGCAGATTGTGACCGGACGTCCGACGGCTGTATTCCCCAACATGGAACACTTGTAAACAAGCATATATCGACGATAATGCCGAATACTAATGTCGTTTTGGTGTGCGAAAACTTGTTGCGTATATATTATGTGCTTCACGGAATAATTAAAGGGATGTCTAATCCAAAAGTGTTCATTAAAAAGCAAGATTAAAGCTCAAATAATCTGTTGTCATTATTATCATTAGACTAATATTATCCTTACTTCCGTGGCTTCTAGATAGAATCAACTGACAATACTCCTGATAAATATTTGTGGTGTCCCCAATGCATATTGGTGGGCATTAGCGACTACAGACAAAGCCGAAACCAACTGCTTAACATTTATTTCGAATTAGATGCTAAGTTTTTGGTCACCCACCCTTTGACGGGCCTTTATAAAAGTTGCTTAACTTCATTGCATCGCAGAGCAAATGCGTAAAACACTGCATCAAGGACCTCTCGTACATTATATACAAAGGAGTAAAATTATTGTCAGAAAGAAATGCATATTTTATTTCTGACGTAGTATATGTTTTCTTCTTATGTGCTTAAACGGTAACCGGTAACTGTTGATCTAACAGATACACTACTTTTATCAAAGAGCATGTCGTTTTATAGAAATATATAAAAGCCGTTTCAGATACTTGAGACGGTATGAACAGTTACTTTTTTCCATTTTAGTAAAATAATATGCTCTTACTTTGAATAGAGATATTGTGTTTTTTTTTTTTTTTTTTTTTTATAAAATTCCAATTGTTTTTAGTTGAAAGAACCTGGATGAATTTTGCTTTAAATCGAGATATTGTGTTTGAAAAGATGGAAAATTATTTCAATGATTCCTCTGGAAAAAATGTTATTACTTGGATAATTTAAGGTAACGAAATCGTTTTAGAAACTTTCGACTTTTCGTCTTAGATTGTTGGTCTAATCTTGCGAGCTAGATTCACTTACTGCTTTTCGATTGAACTGAAATTTTGCATGCATATATAACTTAGATGACAATGCAATGAAGTAATGGAGTTGGAAGGCAGCCATGGGATTTCTGAAATACAATGAAGCAAATCTATCGAATTTTAATTAATATTGACTAGGACTTTATTCCGAAGTTAATATCCAGAGCCTGATGGTGGAACTGGAAAGTGGCAATAGAAATTTTGTAAATAGTTAATACAAATCTGCCGAGTTTTTATTCGTTAAACGTTCTCTGGTACAAGATAATAAATATATAACTAGTTAGTTTAAAAAAATGAGTTGTTTAATTCATCTTTCATTTACTTATAATTTTGTTAAACTTATTAAAATATCTAATCGTGCTTAACAAAGATTCAGTTAGAAAATTTCAGTTTTCTCTAATCTTAGTTATGATGTATGTTGCCGAAACATAAGTATTCAAGTCCTTTGAGAATTAAGGCAGTACGTACGTTAACCAAGTGGTTAAGTGACTTAGTTCAGACATAGCCATAAATGATGTTATTGTTATGAATATATTTTTGAGTAATGTATCCTAAGGATAATAATAATATGTATTTCACTTTTTAATTTCTTTAACTATTTAGAAAATGATTTTATAGGCTTATTTCATTTAATCACTTTATAAATATCACTGAAAAGTGATAGTACGTATTTACTAATGCTTTCCACTGATAATTTTAAAGTGGTTTACTGGAAATGGAAAATCGCTATTTAATATTCTAATTAAATGTTATGCCATCTTTAGGTATGTTATTATGACAACATCTTTTATGTTTATTTGGGTTTTATTTCATTAATTGATAGGCCAGAGAATCAAATGTATTTCCTCTACAAAGTTTTGGGTTATTTCGAGGTATATTTATATATATTTTTAAATTTTCCCGCTGATTTCTATTCACTTTTACATTCATAATATTAGCAGGATAACATTCAATATCCATTTAACGGATGATTCATCGCATTCTTACCAACCATAGAGACATAAGAAGTCAACAAAGTTTGCATAGATTGTTTCTTTGTTCTGTCTATTCAACAGGATACACAAATGTTTGTTCAGTAGTTAAGATGCAAACTATGATACGGCCACTATCCTTTGGGAATTTAGTTACGTGCCTATGCCTATGGTTTACCGTATTACTTCAAATGTGGACCTCACATACATAGATGTCTCCCTTTGACGGCGGCAATCAATATATGTATGCATATATTGATTAGTTAAACATTTATAATGTTAGTCTGACATTATAATAAATAATCGTTAAACATAATCTGTCAGAATTAATTCTCTTTTATCAATTTTACCTCCTAGTTGATTTTAAACTCTACCCACCTTCAAATTATGGGTAGAGTTATTTTTTTTGGTTGTTATCTTTATAATGATAATAAAATATAGAAAAATAAATTACTCTCACTTGAAAATAAAAGTTACGATAAAAATATAATAGGCATTTCACAGTAACGAGCTGCTCGTTATTAAAAAGGCACGTTATTATTTCTCTCTATTCAATATCATTGCAAGCTAATCATATTTTTGTTTATGTCCTATTTCTACAACTTAATAAAAGCAGATATTATATTTTAGCAGCACATCCTTACTTCTGTCTCAATGAAAATAATAAGGTCTGAGGTAATTTCGCTAATGCAAGTGGTTACACACTATCTAGATCGCACTTACAAGCCTTCCCGTAGGTGCCTATTAAGAGGGTCGACACGCGGGATATTGTCAGACCCTTTCCCAAATTGTCTATTTTGACTAAGTGTTAAATTAAGGTACGATATCTTATGTGTATGCGATTCTCACTCCTTGTAAGTTCAACATAATATTTGGTTATGTTCCTCAATTTCTTCCAGTAAAGGTCCTGGTACCTGCAGCTATGTTTAGTCGCGTGATCAAAGAGGTTTCAACATTATGTAGCACTAAAATTAGGATTAATATTGAATAAGGTTGAAATGTACCTTCAAAGGCGGTGGCCATTATTTTAATAAGCAAGGGATTTCAATAAATAACTCTACTACTATCGTTTTCAATTTGGCAGTCTGTATTATTAATTGCTGTATTTTAAAGATGGAATAAGGATCAATAATTTAGTTCTAGTAGTTTTTGTAAATTCAATTCAATCTCCATTAAGTTAAAATAGCGGTTGAAAATTTGAGTCTGAGTCTTTGATAAGTTGAGTCTTTCACCTTTTATGTAAGAATCTTTAATCCTGGTATTTATATATTACATTTCATAAAGGCATCAAACTGATTTATTTTAAAGGAATTTAAGTGGGTAATTATTGATATAATAAAATGTGCCTTTTGAGAATACTAAATATTGGTGAAATTTTACAGAAATCGTAAATTTTTCATCCATCAGATAAATTGTTTTAAACTTTAAAATCATTTCATTAAGAGTGATAGTTGTGTACAGTATTGGTACCATGTTAAAAATAATGAGCGATTGCTCTAATGTCAGATAATCTTCTGAGGGGTTAAAATAGAAAATACAAAAATCGGAAAGTTTCTGATAGTTAAATTTGCTATTACATTAACACGTTAATTTATTTATGTACATTTTTTTTAAAACGAATGCGTTGTTATATATAAATTGATATGATACTACGTAAGGCAGATATAAATTGTAATAATTTAATTATAATCATAGGTTTTTGGTGATTGGAAATAAAATATAGACTTGGACGTTACTTCGTTTATATTTTGTTTCGCAGGCAGTATTATACATTTATATAAGGCTGTTACATAACAACAAAAAATACGATCATATTTTTATTACAAAAACAAGGGTTATTAAAGAAATTAAAAATCTAACTTTTACATACATTTTGAAAAGAACATTTCGATGAATTGTTACAAGTAAACATCTACTCAACTGGTATATTTTATTTAATAGCTTACAAATAATTGTTCATAAAATTCAACAATATTAAAACATTAACATTTTACAAAATATTCTAGTTTTATGCTTTTAAAATTTACACCCTTTCATTGCATATAATGCAAATTATATTAATTTTTATAATGAAAGGTTTTAAGCAACTTATGAAATTAGATACAATTACAGTTTAAGCAAAATAAATTAAAATATTTATCCTTATTGGCTACTTTATATACATACGCTTTAACGTTGCTTATATTATTAAATAAACGATAATGTTATGACTTTTAGTTTATTTAAAATGCGTACACAATAATTTTAATTATTTGATACAAAAATTAACATACAAAATCTTACTTCGTTCTCAAGCAACAGTCTAAGTTTTTTAATTGAGTACATATTGGTATATTTGTATGTTTTTTATATCAGAATATGCGGCCTTAAAACTATAAGGCAGTATCAATTTTGAAGAAAAAAGCCAAGAGTATATAAATTTTGATTCTGATATTGATTTAACAATTTTAATTGTAATTATTTACTACTTATATAAAACACCATTCTTTCATTTAAATATGTATTTACATTTGATTGTCATATTTTATAATAGAGGTATTTATAACGTTATTGACGTCAAAAATCAAGAGAAAAAAATCATTTCATTAATTACCTAGATATTTTCTTGAGACTTCGTACGCGTTCATTCTAGCTCATGTCACCCGCGTGTGATGTAGCTTCTCGTAGGTTAAATATATTTTAAAACTGGTCCAGTAGCTTCGGAGCCTATTTGATGCAAACAAACAATAAAATGTTTCCTTTTTATAATATTAGTATAGACAATATTAACTTAAGGTTGGTTTAGTAATTAGCACTATACTTCAAGTTATATACCGACAATATAATCCGTTATTTAGGGAGACGAACTATCTACATTTAGTTCTCAACTATTGGTTAACTATGTTCAATTATTATATATGTAATAAATCTAATAGCTGTACACAAATGTCATAATTATTTAACACATACACAAACTTCGTGGCTAGGATTATAGCAACTTTGGCTGTTCAATACGCGGTGTATAGTATAGTGGTTATAAAAACGATTGCGGAGGGTGTAACGAGAGGTGATGTGCCAGATTGAGGGCCACCACCACCGAGGAAGCTGGCGTCTTCCCTCGGGCCGCCCTCCCGCAGTGGACCCTGATGACTCGAGCGGACGTCATTCGTCTCCTCCACGGAATTCGAACGTTCGTCTTCATCACGTGATTTTCTATGTGGTAGTTCCATTTCTGTATCGATATTGTAAATATAAATCAGATTCATATAATAATATTAATTGGAACTATCTAATGCGTGCCCATACGAAGTTAGAGATAAAAACTATTTAAAAATCGATTGAATCTATCCTTCATCAATCAATTAACTGAATTGTCGTTTTATTATAAAAACTTGGTTTAAACTATTGGCTGCCTAAAGCAAATAAATAATGAAAACGTCATATAGAGATTTGTTGACTTTCTTTGGTCAGATAATGGTTAAAACCTGGTACTAAAGTTAGTCCTGGTTTTATGACTGCTGTAGCCGTAGCTGATTTATATCGTAGATAATAATCAAAACAGGTTGACCATGCGCAAAGATGCTTAAAATATCCACTTGGGCCCTGGCCTGCTGAGATGGGATTCGAACCCATGACTTTTCGCAATCCGGGCGACTGCTCCAACCACTGAGCCACCCATGACCTAACAGGACTGATGAATCTTTTAAGCATTTGTTACGTTTTCGCTACTACAGAGCGTATATTTAAAGAAATTTGTAACTTTCGATAAAGATGAAATTTGTTGGTCATTTGTTCTAATCCCATCTCAGGGTGCCAGGGACCGAGTGGATTTTTTAATCATTTTTCATTAAGAATATTTTTAGCATAGCATTGTGAATGGGAAATTGATCAAAGATAATTCTATATTGTTATAACTGTGAAACTATGATATCTAGCAAACTTATACACCCAGTCAGCGTCGTCAGGAGTTGTAAGACCTTACATTTCCAACCACCGACTGCTCCGTGAAGTGGCAAAACACGTGTAGAATGGTGATTTTGCGAGATTTGTTGTCATTTGTACCCGTGAATTTATGCGTGTGCGGTACACAGTATGTCTTGTGAATTTTCTGGGTGTGAAAGTTTGCTAGATACCATAGTTTCACGGTTATAGCAATGAACTTCCGCAAAACGCTTGATTCTATTAAATAGTACATTATTACTAAAATGAATTAATGATATTTTTTCTAGGTCTTTTAACAATTAATATATGACTATTATCATATTAGATAATTTTTTTCTTTCACAATGCTATACTGAAAATATTCTTAAAAAAATGCTTAAAAAATTCACTTTATCCCTGATACTCTGAGATGGGACTCGAGACCATGACTTTTCTATATCCGGGCAACGGCTCTAACATCTGAGCTACCCAGAACTTAAGAGGACTGATTAATTTTTCAAGCACTTGTTACTTTTTCGCTACTACAGAGCCTATTTATCAATTTAATACCTATTAGAGAAAATCACATATACACTAATATTAGCTCTTGGTTTAAACAATAGGTTGCCAAAAAAAAAAACAATATTAGAAGACGTTATGTCAAATTGAGCGCGTTGACTTTTTTTGGTCGGCTTACGCTGTAATTATCTATAGACTCTCATCACTAAAGGTTTGGGTGGGAAATGTTCATTTGTTAACTTACCATATAACCTTATATTTCCTTCGGCGTCACCTATAGAGTTTTTTGAGATGCACTTGTATCCCCCCAGGTCGTTCTTTTGTATGTTACGCACGATGAGACGCATCTGAACGCTGTACGCTGAGCTATTGATCTCGCTCATCTGGTATTTATCATTTGATATTATCATTTCACCTGAAAAAAGAATGCTTCTGAGTGAAAAATAATATTTTCTTTTGGTTACAAATTAGATTTTAATCATCAGCCTATGATTAGTCTAATGGGGTACAGGGTTTTCCTTTGGCTATCCATTCTATAGTCGAATTAAATCAAATAGTGAGACTTGGCCATCGCTACGCAGGTCTAGTGCGGATTGGTGGGTATTAATGACCACAGATGCAGCCGGAACTGCAATCTTAACGTGCCTTCCGAATTTCGGAGGAGCTCGAGATAGCAAATTTTTGGTCATCCATCGTATGAACGTAATTTTTTGTATAAAACTAATTATTGTAGGTCACGTTTAAAAGAAATTGAATATAGCCTAAGTTTCACAAAACTCATACCTATGAAATATTTCTAGAAATTACTAATTTCTAATAAACTTTTTTATCTATTTTAGTTTTTGTTTATATAAAGCTTAGCTTATACATATTGATAATGTGTTATTATTGTTAAGCATGTATTTTAAGCGTCAATCAAAACAGCTTGTTGGAGAAAACTGTTATTTTCCATTTTACTATTAGTTTTCCATTACTTTTTTTATGAAAAAACAAGAAGGCATATCAATTTTGTTTACAGGCGAACAGATTCAAATAGATCCTCTCATAGTGTTCGCTAATAGAGTTATTTACATGGGTACCCTTTCTCGATATTCGAAAGGCTTTCCGACCATTCATATTCCCTTACTTCCGTTTATTGTCCGCACGATATCGAATTGAAATATGTTGTTTCGTTGTGTCGCTAACCGGACAATAGCCAGTTCTCGGTGTACAGTCGATCGCACATCAGGTAATAACAAAATGCTAAAGTCCTCCATTTGATCAGAGGCCATATATGATGGTAGTTAAGTTGAAAATTGCTTGTGGGAAGTTGTCGTTTTATAGTAACTTTGTGTGATACATCACACTATGTATATACATAGGTAACATTAAAAGGCAATCGCGATAGCCTGTTAAAATAATGTGTAATTTTACTACGTTGCAATATTATCGGCTAAATGTTGATTTTCATAGCAAGTGTTAACATTATATTTATAGTTTTGTTTCAGATTAAAGTGGTGGAGCTATAATTAAGCGTTGAAATCCGATCACGGATTTTATTTTGTGATTAATTATGCATCTCTTTCAGATATGGACATTTCAGTTACTCAATATTTAATTAAAATTACTGTTAAATATCAATAAAAATTGTGAAACTTCTGGGGCATTGGCCTTCCTGATTTACAATACACTAGCTTTCCGCCGGCGGCTTCACTCGCATGGTCCTTATGGTACTGTTTATTTGGATATTGATTCTTATCATGTCAGGAATATAATTAGAATAACAAATTGAATAGTAAACAATCGTTATAATGGTAACGTTTTAATTCCCTATACAAACTACCAGTTCCATTTTTATCCCTTTATTTGCTATTTTTCGGGATAAATTTGTTTCATTAGTTTCGGAGCCGATTCGATGTAAACAAAAAAACAGATAATCAAATCTTTCTTCTTTATAATATGAAATATAGAATTATAGACAAACATTAAGAGAACGGGCTGTTATCTAACATACCCAGTGCGGATCTATGGCAGTTAACGACCGTAGATGCGGAATGTGACTTCAAAAGAGTTAGTTAGTGATGATATAATTTTAGTCAGCAAGCTGCGAAAGTTGTTTCGAAAATTATTGGAAACAATTAATTTTGTATGGTTATATTATATTATAATGAAGCTGACACTAATATATTAAGAGAGATGAAAAATTATATATTTTGAAAATAAAGAGATTTTTTTTTTAATGATTTTCAGTGTATCAATTACAAAAAAATCAAATCTTCCCTTTTTATGATGGTATTATATTTGTTGTATTATCCTCGCCAAACAAACAAATAAAGTTAAAAACCTTTTTATACCTTTTTATAATATTAGTAAATCGTAATATACATTTTATTACTATAATTATGAGGTTTTATTTCTTTTAAGTTGGTGTCGCTTACTACCATTTTAGCGCGGGTCATGCCCGTTCTACATTAAAAATTGCTTGCATTCTTCTTGCTCGCTTATTTTGCGGGAACAGTTTTTTTTTTATTGCCACGCAGCCATGTTTTATTCACTAACAAAGATATTTAATTGAAATTTTTCACTTTTTCGGCAATAGGTATTTCATTATGGAATTCTTTTTACTTCTGTTGTGTGCCAGGAATTCGTGCGGAGGAACTTATATTTCCACTCTCAAGATATTTCATAAGATTATGTAAACCGTTTGAATGAACAATATTATTTTTCTAAGGATATTAACTTGAAAATAGCATACTTCAATATTCTATTTCGAAATGCTTACGAATACTAAAACTGTCACGGATTATGTAAATTATATTAGGTCCATAGAAGCTTTTTTATTCTTTTCGTCTACCCTTTTAACTCTGTAGTCTGATGTAAAATGTACACCAGGGAGCTAGATATTCAGATAACTTTAAACGAAAAGTAAATTATTTCTCATGACACTGATCTACTTCACAACAACTTTCTAGACGAAAATGTGTTGTGAAAATTGAAAAGCTTTATATTTTACTTTTATTAACCCGAAAGCGTTTCTTTACCGACATGTATTTCTACTGTATATTCCTATTCCTGTAAATTGTATACCAAAAATTTTGTTTATTTTGCTCATACTTTTAACTGAAAAAAAAAACAGAACTATCGACAATTCATTTTCTTTATTGAACAAATGGAGCTATTAGTCATCTTGGTTATTTATGTAGAATAATATTCTGTTGTTGGCACGTTCGAAAGCCTTGGTCAATTTGTTATTCAAACTTCATTAATAACTGCGGTCCGACCAAAGACAACGAGATCGGTCAAGAGCTCGACCTGTGGAGTACACCACAAATCTGTGGTGGGCCCTGCCACTGACACCCAATGGTGGTCATTTACCACAGCCACACCCCCTTTTGTTTATTGCCCGACAACTTTGTTAATTAATTGTCAATATTCTGACCATTCCCGTCTCGTAGCTTTTGCCGTTTCGAATCTGCAAATACTATGCTAGTTAGCTTAGCGGTACGTTTGGCTCACGTAAAATGTTTATTTAACTATTTGACAATAAAGCATTTTGTCAAACGATCCGGCGGCCAGTCACTGGTCCGGCGGCACATTGGAAATATTTCAGGAATAAATAGAACATTATTGATTTTGTTCAAACGTCACTTAAAGGACTTACAATGAACTGTTATTGGAGACAACATTCAAATTAACTCAAATCTTTAAAGTACCATGAAATTGGATTTGATCCCATAACCTTTCGTAATCTGGGTGACTGAATCATTGAATTACCCGAGACCCCACGGAACTGACGCATTTCTTAAAGACTTGTAAATTTTAACAATATAGTATGTACTAGCTTTCCGCCAGCGGTTTCACTCGCGTGGTCTTGTATTATACATAAAAATCTTCCTTTTCAATCACCCTATCTATGAAAAAAAATCCGCATCAAAATCCGTTGCGTAGTTTTAGAGTTTTAAGCATACATAGGGATATAGCGACAGAGAAAGCGACTTTGTTTTATACTATGTAGTGATTGTGAATGCAACATTTATCAAATATAATAATTAATTAAAGTGTCCAACGATAAATACTTATGCGGTCAAAGTTGATTTGAATTTGAAACGACGGACATTAAAGAGTTTACATATACTGAATGATCAGTAGTCCAACCCATTCCGTGTCGCTGGCCGGTCGCCCGTCTCGCCATGCCCCATATTACCTAATTTAATTTGTACTCCCCGAAATTTATGGCCACCGAAGAGCAGTCTGCCCCTGGAAGCTAACGCATCCGGACAGATGCTACGTCACCCCATCACTCGCAGAATTGATTGAAGACTAGCCGAAACCGTGACCGTTATATTGAAATTCGAAAATTGAATTTTGATTTGCACCGACATTGTTGTAGGCACACGAGAGTAAATATGGTGACTGCGGGCTAAAGCAATTTGGGGCGGGCGGACCAGCGGTCTTTGTTGCATATCAGGCGGTAATAGAATTTGGTTCGCTTTTTGCGCGGTCGGTCGCTCTAGCCACGTAATGGCTAGCTCGGTTGCCTTTGTAACTGCATCCAAATCTGGATGTATTATATATCCGGCTGATTATAGCACAACCTAAAATAGAGTTGTGGTATAAAGTAAATCTACTTCTGCTTGTGCTTGTCTAATACATCACACTCTGTGTGATTTTATTACCGAAATTTAAGTTGTAAAAAAGGTAAAAAGCAAATTACTTTCCTAAAATAAATATTTGAATATTACAAGGTAACAATTTACTGAGAAATTAAATGCCCGATTATTTATATTAAAAATCTGCTTTGGATAGAATACTAATAAGTGGCTTTGCTTTTGTATTAGAAATCTCAAAATTCAGAGTACAACAAAGACCATCGTCTTTGTTTGATGGTAAATTGAATTTGTTTTATTGAAAAAACATCTTGTTTTCCATAAATATTATGTGAGTGAATGTTATTTGAACCTAAATAAACTAATATATAACAGAATAACTCGATGTTCTGCTCAGTTACAGCCACTTTAATTCTTGCGCACCAAACGCGTTGCAGTAAGAGCTTGATTGTAAAATTCTGCATTTCTTGGTCAAATAAACAGTTCAATTTGGCCAAAAAAAATATAAGTTTTGGGAAGCGCATTGCGAAAAACTTTTGTACGTTTTGCAGGCGACGGACGGGCAGCTGCGGTTCGTTCACACATGTCGAGGACGCGGGTGTCGTAAATCCATTGCTAGCACGAGTTTAGTAGGTACGTTATGCCGCATTGTCGCGTCGGGTTTCTCTCCACGCTCGCGTCCGTTGCAACGCATTACCCAGTTGCATATTCCCATTCCCTGTTAGAGACACATTGTGCTTTAATCCATCCGTTGCTCTAGTCAAATCTAATGCAATATGTGAGCTAATAGATTATCGACGTTTAAAAATCAAAATGCATGAACTACTATTTTTATTCAGGCAATGTGTTGTGAGCTTGCAAGGGCACCTTTAGTCACCAAGAATATAATATTGAGAAGAGGAAAGATTAGATTATCTGTTGGTTTTGTGTGTGGGTTTTTTTGTTTGTATCGAAAAGGCTTCCAAGCTATTGCAGCGATTTTAGAAATTCTTTCACCTACGGGAAGCTACAGAGTACGCAGGTGACAAAGGCTTTATATTGGGTTAAAGCGACTGATATATACCACTATGTTGGTGCTATTGTTATTTGAGATTTTCATAGTTTTCTATATTACTGAGTCGATATAGATCCCTTTTTTAAAACTTTCATTACCGTTTAAATTCACCGAGATATGAAAAGTATTATTACCAGATTCTCCTTTGCACGTACGTAGAAGATTTGCAGGTTTTATCGGCAAGATATTATTAAATAAATCAAATTGTAATTAGTATAACACCACCGAGTCAGTCAGATTTAAACTATTTTAAAATTTATCAAATTAATTAGCTTAGCATATCCTACAGTGTATCATAAAACAACATCGGGGTTATCAATTTGTTCTCTTTTGTTTTGCGTCAATAAACTTTGTCCATATATATCCTTGTAGGGTTTATCTGTGTTGTATAGACACATTGTAATGTAAATATCACATTTATCTCTACTCATTGCCCTCACAAAGCACCGAGTACTGGACATCTGTCACATCTCACTAAATAAGCAACTTTTATCTGGACGTTATTTTAATGAGAAATAATGAAGTTCCCACTGAAGTACTTGTGTTTTGTTAGGTTAAGTGCCTTATTTGTATTAGTTAGATGGTGTGTTTTTATTAAGTTTACTTTGTGCCCTTCTCGGCTATCTTAATTGTGGAAATTAATTATGAGATAATGTAGGCCATTTGAAGTAGTGTTGATGATAATTAAATGATCCACAAGGTTGAACTGAGGACTTATTTTGAAATTGAATAAAAAATGTAAATCAAGCACCAATCTAGATTAGTAGATGTTGGTACATGCTACTATAACAGTATAGAATACCATGATCGATTCTCGAAAGAGATGCGGTTACACCAAAATTAACTAATTATCAACAAGTTTTAGATAGAAAAAAAAAATCAAAATCAAATCAAAAAAACGTCAAAATAAACTGTATTTAAAACTGAGAAGACTACATCAAATTTCTAAGGCTTTAGTCAATTTCAAAAGTCGAATTTTCATAATTTTTAAAAAGAAACTAAATCTAAAAATGATCTCTAATATTCAGTATTTTTTTCATTTCTCGTTATAATTAAACACATTTTACTTAAGGATAATTGATAAATTATGCGTTAAAATGTGATTCCACTCCCCCCTTCCGTCTTAAGGGAACATATCTAGACTTTATTTTATTTATTTATTATTGAATTATATAAAATTTTAAAATGTATTGACTTCTACAATATAAAATTAATGGTTATATAATTTACAACGTTTATTAAAACACCAATTAACATCTGCTTTCGTCTCCTATTATTCCTCGGCCGTATTTCATTATGACATCTAGGCATAATTATGGGGTCGTTAAGTCCCGCATCGAAGCCATATAATCAAAGTCAAAATAAATCTCATCCAAATGAAAAACGGTCATGGTATTATCGCATAATTTTTCCTTTTAAATGGGGGTGGAACATAAAAAATGCCGTAACTTGTAGCGAACACTAGCGCCAAAGCTGTCAGATAGGATACTAGGATTATGAGTAACGACCATTTTAATGAGTGCCTTAACGCTTCCAATATACTTTATGAATAATGAAATTAGTTGCTTATTTCTTCTTGAGGTTCGTGCTTCGGACTTAATAAGCTTTATAGTTTATGGATAATGTAAATATTTGTTTGGCCCGTAAAAATTATCTTTTAGTGGACAGTATATTGGGATTAAGTACCTAATTTGGTTTATACTTGATTGGAAATATTACAAAGTCCAAAAAGGGTGTCGCAATTATTGCAGATCACTTACCGCTAGTGGCTGCACCCGCGTGGCCCCATGGGACCGTTAAGTGGGATACAAAGAAGCCTATATGTTAATCCGGGCTCTGAATTACGAGGTAGCTTTATTTGTAAGACCTGGCAATCTTTGTTTTGCTAATAGTGATCTGATTGACCGTTGTGCAAATTGCTCAAGATTAGTAAGCATTTTATTGGTCCGTACAGCTTGCCTAGAAATATAATAGAACTCTTTGATAAAGGTTGTAAATCTTACCGTTTTCTCTGGTCCAGTAATTGATGGCTTTGGGCGATGCTTCGACGTGACACTGAAGTGTAACATCTGTGCCGGTGGGCGCTCCGACTAGTTGATTCGGCACTTGCACCAGTGGATGAACTGAACGTTAAAAAATACAGCATAATAAATATTAGACAATATTACATCATTGTCCAGACCCAAAATTAAGTAGCTGTTTAACATTAACATGAGGAAATCTGAAAAAGAAGGTACCATGGTACCCCGATCCAAAATAATAAAGAAAAGTTCAATGGTTACATTAAATAATACCCAAGACATCAATTATACTCGTAGTAGCAGTAACTGGTAATCAAGCCACTTGATCATTAAGGTCGTTTAAATATATATGTCGCCAGAAATTAATAATGTATCACCGCTGTTTTTAAAATTAGAATGACAGTACAATATGAATATTGTTTTCTAGATCTCTTTGCTTCGGAAGGCACGGTAAGCTGCTTATACTGGCAGCTTCTGCAGACGTTAATATCCATCAAAGCGTACTGGATATGTTCTGATTTTTTATTTCATCTCAGGGAAGTTTTGTGCCTCAGAAATACGGATATCCTTACTCATGTGAGTAGCATCATACTTTCACACTAATTAAAGTGTAAGATAATCCTTGCATTTTTTTCCTGCTGTTTCATCTCATCGTATTTTTACAATCACCATAATTAAACTACTCCAAAACTTCTTAAGCTTAATGTAACGGTTTATATTTTATTTAAACGTATACATTATTTTTAAAATAATTACTATAAAATTTGTTGTCCGAAGATTGACAAATCAATAATTTTCTATATAGATAAACGACGACGGGCTTGACAACATGTCTTGCTCGAAGCTATTGTTCTCCATGTCGCAGGCGCAATTCAGTTTTATGAAAGGTACAAAACCCGTGAACGCGCTCATTGTGATACATTTCAACCGAAGGCAGCGTAACATCAACATTAAGTAGTCCTTTAATATTCTTTCGCGGCCGCTGTAGTCGCGACGTAAAATTTACGTTTTAATAATTATGTTTTTTTAATTAATTTTATCGAACTGATATCCCCGTATTGGGTAAGTGTTGCATATTTTTTTAATAAATTTAGCTCTTTTTTGTTTAAATTTTATATTGTGTTTTTCAGCATTATATTGTTTCTTTATGTAATTTATTTTTATTAACGGGCATGATTTAGTCCCATTGAACACCTTACAAATTATTTGTTAGATGGTGAAAATCTAGAATGATCTTTTGGGTGTGGCATGTCAAAATACCCACTTGTTTCTTTTATTTACTAGAAATGCACACCACTTTTCTTTGCTTAATTGTTCTTCTCTGTTTCTTGTAATAACGCCATGGGTAGTGATCAGTGATGAAGCAGACAAACAGACAAGACAACAGACTTGTCTGGCTGTCTGCTTCATCACTGATTCCACCTATTCCTGCCTCTTACCTCACACCGTCTGAAGACCAGTGATGTCGCAGCCAACCTAAAGGCCGTGAAATTTTTTTAAATTTCATTTAGAGTTCCTTCCCGCCCTTGAGAAGCTTTATGATCACCTAACATCTATAATTGTACCTATCTATATATTGATCCACGTTGTGAGCTTCCCGTCGGAACCTAACCCTGAGATCTCATGTCTCCCTACTTTTTGGGTAGTAAACGTTTATTATAAAAATTATTTGTTTTATTACCTATTTGTTAACGCTCTTATGGGTCCTAAACCCACCAGTAACCCATAACTAATAAACTCTTTTTTTATAAGCGTTACCTTATATATGTAAATAGATGATTCTTTATATATATCATGCTATTGAGTATTGTTTTGGTAACTTGCAAATCCAAGTTCGTCAATTTAAAATTATCTATAACGCCAAAGTTATGCTTAACACTTTCGAGGATGAGTATCATATTATGTTTTTATTATTAGTTGTTATTTTACATAGCAACTGAGCCGATCATAATTCCTCCCTATGAACACCAACCACACGGCCATATCTTTTTATTCACTCTATCCGCAAACAGGCTACAGGAAATGTTTTAAACTACACTGCAATCCAGTGGTATTTTTGTTTACATAACTTTCCATTTGCGTTTATACACTGCCGGAATTCGCTTGTATCTAAACGTTTCTGTGTATGTAAGCACTCTTATATTTCATTCAGCATTCAACTGAATGCGTCTAAATGCTTGCAAAGTTTCTCGCTGTACCAGAATTAATATAAATGAATTGCCAAATATGTTTAGAAGTTTTAATCGTACTAGACATTCAAAAATATTCATTAATTTTGGCCTATGAGATACTTGACTACGCTTGTTATATTGACATCGTGATCGAAGATAAAGAATAATAGCAATTGTGATTGAATGAGGTTTACTTAATAATTTGAATAAAGAGTTATTGCTGATATTTTTAAGTGAAATCGAAATCAGCTTACAACTGACGATAACATCACCAAATATAAAAAAAAGTACTGAGACCTCCCGTTTTTTAAAGCTTGTTTAAAGGTATTTTCTGAACCAATAGCTAGACTATGGTCGCATATTAGTATCATAGTAAATATAAATTGCCAAGTAAATCTAGTAGTAGTTCTATAAGTTTCCACGCGATGCTGTTGACTTTAGGTAGCGTTTAGTATCTGCATTAGTCATATCCGCCGTTCGCGTATGTTTGAACGAATACTTGGGCCATTTCGCCACGCCGCTGCGAGTCAGCTGTTTACCCTGGATATTATCCGAAATGCATACGTTTGCGTCAACTGCTTGCATTAGCTTTATAGCCAATTAAATACGTATATCGCCGTAGTGAACAGGGTAGAATAAGTTTATGTTTGGTCAATGGTACACTAATACTACTTGTTTGGATTACGTAAATGTATGGAATGGAAACTATTGCATCTGTGTTGATAATTTTTTGTAAAGCATATTCAGGCGATATTTTGTAATCTTTTAATAATCCTCAAACTTCCGGAGGTGATTTATTGATGAAGGAAATATAATTGTAAGAGCTATGACTTAGGCTAGGAACGGATTCCATTGAAGAATTAAGAGGAGTTGGTAAGACTATCCTACTATTCTATCCAAGCGTGCTGAGTAAAATTTTGAGTAGCTGTCAGTTCAACCGCAAGTAGCGAACCTTTGAGTATGACTTATATTCAAATGTACGGGAAAATTGAAATTGATTTTAAATTTATGAATACGACGGAAAACAAATCTGAGTAAGTACAAACGTCTAAAATCTTAAACATATATTTTATTTCAATAAACGTTATTTGCCATGGTTAACCGTGAAATGCTTCAAAGAAAACCCAACAAAGAGTTATCCAATAAAACGTATCAAAGGAATAAAGGATTAAAAACGTTATTTAAAGAAGCGGATTATTCTCAAAATGTAAACAATCGTGCCGACAACCCCACAAGTCTGTTTAGGGTGAATTAAGGAAAACGGAATTTTCTTCCTCAGCCTTAGATCGGGGCTTATTTGTGGTTATTCTCTTTGACCGTCGTTAAGTTGCTTTGGATGGTTTTTACGAGTTCGAGTGGCCAATTTAGTGAATAAAATCTGAACGATCTGAATTTTTGTTCTAATTAATAAGAGGGGTGGATGTTTAACGTTATTAAATAAAGCGAAATAATGAACAGTTAGAAGTTTCGTGTGATAAACGGAACGATGTTCCTTTGAAATGGTTTATAATCTTTATCTTAAATCTAAGAATGTGATTAAGTTATTGATGATGTATAAGAACTTGATACAAATAGGTATAGCTAAGACGGCAATCAAAAGTTACGGGGAGTTTTCTTGGGAAAGGATTCCTCGCGGCATTCTTGAAGTGACAGTTTGATTAACCGAGCGACGCGCACACGCTTCGCCCGTTTTCGGATTTCTTGGCATTTTCAGCGTACTTTACCTATCCAGAAAGTCGAACGTTTATGTGAAAGCGGAGAGTGTAAAATCCAAAACGCCCAGTTCCTACACCGAAATAAACATTAAAAAGAAGCGTTACATGAAATTAATTACACTGAACTGGTTTCTGTTAGAATTGATCGGCATTTATACACTTCACTTGCTGTTTTTCTTTTGTCTAAACTCAATTTGCTGTCTCCCCCGCTTCCAGTGAACAACTAAAAGAAACTCATCGCGTTACGAAGCACTTACTGTTACAAATGAATTGCCACACTCCTGGGCGTCTAAAGTGTTTTTACGTCGGCCAAAAGGCCGCAAGTCTCCACGACCCACTGTTATCATTCGTTTTCGGGGAAGGAAATTTAAATTAAATATTTGAGAGCGTTAATTTTGTCTCCTCATCGAGCGAACGCGACGCATTCTTTGTGAAGTAATTAAACTGAGTGGAAGGGTTTCAGACGGCAGTAGTTTGTTTGTTCGCTTGGAATTGCGTTTCCTATGAAGCGAATTTCTCTCAGTTGTCGCCAAGTCGAGCCGCTGAGGTTCTATAAGTGTTAATATACTTGTAGCCACTTGTGGGCGGTAAAATGAGCCGGAGAATCACTTGTCCCACCTCGATTACTTTCTTAGCACTCGAGTTGAAGTTTCTCAATTGTTTGCGTTCTTACATTAAAATAATTATATCAAATAATTTCGGGGAACATACTTTATCTGGTGTTAACTTTAGTACCTTATCTATTAGGTTACGAGTAACAACTTTCATTAGATTACAAAAGTAATTAGGTCTTCTGCATTTAAAACAATTAATTTATTAAAGACTCTTATAAAATTTATTTTTTAAACAGCGAAAAAAGCATCAGTGATTCAATTTATTTTGTATTGCCTTAAAAATATATTTGATCAGTTGGATGGATATTTACATCGGAACTGCCAATAACAGCACGCAAATAGTTGCGGACAACATGGGACCAATAGTGTGTTCCCATCAGTCATTGACATTTGGTCAATTGTAATATGTATAAAACTCTTTTTGCAATAATGAAAATGAGCATCTGCTAATAGAGAATATACTTTGAAAAATTATTACTAATGTTTTTTTAATAATTATTATACTATTTTATTAACTAATTAACTTTACTTTCCATCCATAGGGTAGGCCTGTGCCCCAGCAATGGGGACATTAGTAAGCTGGTGATGTGATAATCGTTTGCGAAAATCAAAATAGATAGTCCTTTGTGGCCTAGTGGCCATACATCTATAAAAAATCATACCTGTTTCTCAAGTATGTGTGAAGTATGATTTTTATAGCTACAATAATCTTTTGAGGAGTCTTTACAAAAGTATATTTACAACAGACCATAATTTGTCAATCTGACAGATCATTCAGGGCTTATTTTGACATATTAATAAGAGCTTGAAGTTAGTTTTTGCTTCTGCATAATTTGGAAACAAAGAAAATAGCGGTTTGACAAGATGACCACAGTAACAGCTTATTTTCACATAATTCGTTATAAGTTATTGATACGAAAACGAATCGATTATACAACCTAATATCTAGTATACAGAAATTAGTATCACTAGTAGTCACATATAAACCAATAACGTACTAATTGCTAATGAAGTTTCGCCTGGTGCACTTGCTTAATACCATTGATACAGCGAACACTGAGACGGAAATCAAATCCTGGTATTAGTAACGCCCGAGTTTTCGGATTCATGAAATGTTGCAACACACAGCTCCCAGCGGTGTTGCTCTATCCATGGAATGGAAACGAGTAGCGTTGTGTAATATTACTCTCCCTGCACCGCGTGTATATATAAATGTACAATCGTACATAATGTTTGCTATCCCAATTGTCCACAAAGCTGATTTCACGTACATAGTAGTGATGTGACATAATCGATAGATGTTAATCGACAAAATACAATAGCTTTATTACTATATAAAAATATATATTCATATGTTTTACTAGCTTTCTATTTTATACATTAACCTTCCATTTGAATCACTCTGTAGACTGATGAAAACCGTATAAAAATCAGAGCGAAGCGAATATTTAGATTCAACTTAGATTCAAATTAACATAAATTAACCTATATAACTTCGCCATATTATTTTCTTAAAATAATTATCAATAACATTAACACAAATCAAACACATTTCGAAGGTACTCAAATAATAAACAAATGAACTGTAAGTTTCTAGCATTGCTTCTCTTTGCATAAAATCAATACAGTTATTACAGTTATTATTTTGTTTATTACAAGTGGGGCCTGGTTTGTATATTTATCATAGGATCATCAATAAAATGGTAATAAATTATTATAAAAATGCAGTGACCACCCAATAAAATACTGAATTAAAAATGAAATCACAAGACAAGATTATTGAATTATTTTAAGGAATGGAAGTTTAGATTACTAAAAAATGATTTATCATATTTATTTTATTTCAATTCGTGTCCATTGTAATATCCATATGTATAATAATAATAAAAAATAAAAAAATAAGATGACAGTATAGATTATTTTTTACAGGAAATATTGGCCCAATTTATTTGTTTTGTTCAAATAATAATTTTATATTTCTACAATCGATAAAATCAGTTCACACAATGCGGGATGGACCAATAGATTGCTGACTGCTGTTAGTTGAATTGGAAACGCATGGTTGATGTGTATTTACTATTTAAATATTGTTCTTCATGTTTATTTGTAGTTTCTTTTGTTATAAATACCAAAAACATTTGCTAAAATTTTGCATTTTGTCTTGCCGATTCTTCCGTATTAATGAGCTAAGAAAGATTTCTATTATTAAGTGGGTATAATAATAGCTTGTGACTAAAATGGTTGATATCAATTACTTTATGTAGTATATTTGTATTCGTGTTGTTGATCAAAATTTATACATATTATAAAACAAGGTAGCTTACCTCTACTGTACGATGAGATCTTTTAAACAACACAAGTCTCATAATGCGGTTTTCGTCAATATACAGAGTGATTCAAAAGGAAGCTTTGTGTTTATAATATAAGACCACGCGAGCGAAGCTGCTGGCAAAGGCTTGTACTTAATAAATACTAAAAATACGATTTTTCGTTTCGTTTAATATTTAACATGGAAATGTCGAAACACAAATCGTTCACAAATTATTCATGAATATAATTTTTCATCAGATAACAAAAGACGAATATACTTTATCAGCACACAGTACTTCCTGAAATTCCCGAATTCCGGAAGCAACATAACAAGTTTCACTAAACATTTGTCGAGAGCGATTTAGATGCACGCCACGCGCCGAAGATGATACGTGATAACACGAAAATCTCCCAATTGCTTACGTGTTCGAGCCTACGAGCCCCCGTCCCGACAGACCATTGAATAACTTCCCGTTTATAAATTAGTCTGAATAGGGCTGTTCTGAAGCTTAATCAATATACTTTATCAAATTTACTAATAAACGATATGAAGTGAAATAAAACGCTTCAATGTATATTTTATCTCATTGAAATGAGAAGTTTATATTTTTCTTCTGTTTTAATTTTGGTAAAAGCTACTTGTTGCTAATCTACGAGACTTTATGAATTATGAATGAATAATTAACTGTAAAACCGGAGTATGGTTTGGAGCATTTTTTAATTAAGTAACAATGCTAATTAATTTTATAACAACATTCGTAAATGTATTCAGTCCTGAAATTTATCTTAGTTATGTTCTTTTTTTGTAATGGATTTTAATTCTTTTGTTTGAATTAAAACTGGTTTTCTGTTGTCCTTGTAGTAAATATGGAATATATTTTCTGCAAATAAAAACAGAATATACTAATATTCCATATAGTATAAAAAAGTTGTCTGTCTGTACGTTGAGATCTACACATTTTAAACTACACAAGGGATTTTAACGCGGTTTTCATGAATAGACAGAATTATTCAAAAAGGTAATACAGGATGATGTCCAGTGTTTGAGTAATAGTTTATGTATTTTTTTTTTCAATTTAGAAATTACAGAGAAACACCAATTTTCGTCATTTTTTTATTTCGGTACTCTAATACGTTTTACAGTTTTTATCGATATCTTGGTACCATCGGTGGACATCCTTAATTTTCTAAGGAAAGCAAGATAAAGTAGCTACGCGTTCCCGCTTTTTGCCTCGGTTCACGCAGGTGAGTACGCTTTATCGATGGACCAATTGATTCACGTCGTGAATTCAAATCAGTATCTTCATGAGGAGTTTCGAAAACGGGATTATTTATGTTCTCTTTCCTATCCATCCCTGTCAGCTATTTGTGTTCCGGCACTCTAATCAGTTTTAAGTTTGTGGGGATGAAAGTTATTAGATAGAGAGTATTGTGTTAGAAAGTTTATGACCTTTGCCATTCATTGTAGACTCGGGTCAAGATGTATATTTTTTGTGTTTATAGATATAGATGACGACAGTAATGTATGCGGTCTCCGTTATGATTTAATTATTTTACTGTTTGGATGTTAAAGCTTTACGAAAACAAGGGCGGCAGTCGTATAAGCCACTGTGACACAAAACTTCATAAAGGCAATAAAATATTTCATTTTAAGGGTTAAAATGTCAAATATTTGATTTTATATTATTAATAGAATATCTTAGACAAATCATCATCGGCTTGTATTGTTCGTTATAAGGACACATGCCTTCCCTAAGGATAGAATCAAATATATCATGTTATTTTTGAAAAAAGTCGAGTACTGAATAAATCGCTTCAATGTAATTAAATTATGTTATATAGATAATATTCTTACGTTCGTCTTATACTTCAGTAGCTTACAAGTGTCCCCTGTGAAGTGGCTAAACTTGACTCAGCGAGGCTACTGTAATAATTTTTATCTGCTGTAGAAAACTTCTGTCCGCTTATTTATGCACTTGGTACTTCACGTAATAATGAATTCTACGAGACGTTTGTAAAGACGAATTAATATTTTTAATGTGAAGAAATGAGACAAAGGCGCGCGATTTATTCGTATTTTATTAGTTGATTGATTGGACCTAACATTTTAATACTGCCATTTCTCTGACGTAGAGTTGCCAAGCGTACTCTAAAATAGAGTATTGTACTCTATATCATGCAGAAGTACTCTGTAAATTATATACACTTATAGAGGACGGTAAATTACTCATTTTTACATTTTTTTTGTTATACTAGTGCCAGTCACGAAAAAAACTTTTAAAAAATTCAATATAAATTATACTCTTTTTTTTCAGTCTGTACACTTTATTTAGATAAATAAAAACATAAATATAGAAAATCAAAGGAGATCTCTTGAAATCATATATACTCTTTTTCTTATAATAGTTGGTCTGCCGTCATTACACAGTGACTTGATAATCTGATTTTAATACATGTTATACTTACAGTGTACATGAAGCATTATCCTCTTGCTAACTGAAGGTGGAACACCGTTGGCGGCGATACAGAGGTATGCGCCCATCTCTGACCTCGTCACCTTCGTTAGATTTACTATCTCCCCCTCAATAGAGGTAACTGCAAAAATTTCGTATAATGTATGTGCAAGCATGAAACTAAAAACAATTGGGATATTAAATCTTTATGTAGCGAGATATAGAGGAGAGATATAGCATAATTAGAATATAATTACTAAATAAAATATAGACGAAACAGTTACAGTTAAGTAATCTTTCTTATGAAACACGCAAGCTTGGATGTTCATGCAAAAATTGCTCATTTGAAACTTTCATGATATTTATTTAATACACTGTATTGACAGTTTGAATAGGGGTCGTACACTTATAAATATGAAATTTTTACATTCATACAGCTATGTATATTGATATTGGCGGCTGTCTGGTTAGTGAGAGGTTATGGGTTCGAATGAACAAATGTGTTTTAAGTACTTTTTTTACTTATAAGTACACATTATATGATGTAGGACGTAGTCTTTATTCCTAAAGTTTATTTCGTAACGTACAATATGCCTATTTCAAAATATTGAACCACAATCATACGAGCGTATATTCGGTAGGCGCAAACATTATTTTCTAAGCTAACTTTTATTAGTTTGCGTATTTCCAGTGCTTACTTTAGATATAGTCAAAGCTTATAAAACACCTTACATACAAAAGTCAACGGGTACGGGTAAACAAGGGCCGTTAGTGGTTTAGAGCCGGGCTGTTTTCTTGACACCTTGCTCAAATGGTGCCCGAGTACGTTTACAGCCATTATTCAAACAAGAGGATAAAAAGCTGGGGCAATATTTTTCGAAGGGGCTGAAGGTTGATGGTTTAGAGTGTAGAGCTCTTGAGCTCGCCACGAAGCTTCGTTAGCAAACAATGCGCAGACAGAGGATCCGTGGAGCTGTTTTGCCTAAAATTATTAATTAAATTTATTTAGACAAAATAATGTAGAGTTATTTAAAATATAGAAACTATAAAAAATGTGAGTAACTTGGAGGTTATGTCATGTTTAATCTTATGTGATGTTGTTAATTCAATCGATAAGCTTTTTTATAGTAAATCAATTGCTTCGATTGGCGCTGATGGGTTTATTCTGGTTATATGAGCCCTGAAGTAATTGTAATAAATCTAATTCTATAAATTAAATAGTTAAATAAAACACAGGATATAATATTGTAAATCATGATGAAATATGTATCATAAACTCGTTACACACTGTTCGAAACAATTAATGAGATAACTTATTCACTGAAATAATAACCACCTATGAAAACCCCCGGTAAACAATACATGTATAATAGTCTAGGAAACGAATAGGTTACCATTGAAAGTATTGTAAATATCATGTGATATTTCAATGAAAGACAGTAAAAAGTTATTGTAAACCATGATCAATTATTTAAATACAAAAGTGTAATTTGTTCAGAAAACTCGATGGATTTCCTAGTGCTGTCTCGAGACGGGGCAAAGTAAACTTGGCCTGTCGATGTGTCATAAGTGAGGACCGCTTACAAACTGTACTCCTCACCATAGCTATACTAATGGCGAGAGAAGATGAGGCGAGAAAAGAAAAGATGACGTATAAATTAGTTGAATTAAAAGAAAAACCTTTACAGTTTAATCAGTATCAATTGATAAATATACTAAGCACTAATTGAATTTCAGTGAAAAATACATAACGTTATACAATGTGTGTAATTACTTTGGTTCGATATGAGACAGGACAGTGCAATTTCAATGTATATTATGTAGATTATAATATATTCTTTATTTATCATGCCAAATATTAAGTGAAGGAAAAATTCCTGCTTGAAGCAATATTTCGCTTTTATATAGGCAGAAGAAATACGCCATAAATTTTACTTGTAACCCAAGTATTTTAGCCATGGTTTTATCGTAAACTTAATAAGTCTATGATATACAATAAAACTGTGTGAGCCAACAATGTATGGTGTTCTCAAGAATAATGGAAAATAAACATTTGTGCATCAGTCGGCTAAAAACTTTCAATTATAAAATTACGGCTAAAATGTTACGTCGAATTATAAATTATTATTAAGGGCCTCCTTTCAAAGAAGGTATTTAATAAGCTATAGATAAGTCTTAATGGATTCTGTCATAATTGGTCTGGTCATGAAACGGGAGGTCCATGCGAACGTTTCGAAAATATTATTAAATATTCACGTTATTTGATAATGGGGATTAATAAGCCAGCTGTATCCTGTATCAGTTTCCAACTTTGTAGATGAAAAGCGTCGAATAGAAGGATGGCTGAGTTAATTTACATCAGTCTCGGAGCAAGTTTCCGCCATTCATTCGCTTATCTGCATAATTTGTTGTAGAACACGGAACAAATAGGCACGCGACACGCCGTTGTCAGCGGAATATGTTTTATGCGAAACAATAAAGGGCAAATTTTGAATAATACCCTTTGTTTACTAGTCTCGCCATTATGATTATTGCGCTATGCCTCCATGAATATTTTAAAACGTTACGCTAGAGTGACTCGCAGATGATTTTATGTTTAAAAGAAATGTAATGAATGTCTTCATAAATATGTACCTACTTGATATTCATATTACAGAGTTTATTGCTTATTGTAGACATTGAAAAAGCAATTTTTGAAACACTTTTAAATACATTTTATGTCTCAGGTTTAGTTTCTATTTAATATTATACTGAAGTTGCTGTAATAATGTTAGTTAGGTCATTTATCACCATGACTCTAGTTGGCATTTAACCCTTTCCTATTTATTACAAAAACTGCAAAACAAGTATTACACTTAATGTGATTTATGTAACGAACGCTCAAGTTAGGATAACAAATTCGAAAGAGGCTCGTCCATTAAAAACTATTATTTGTCGAGTTTGAAGCCCGAAGTTGCCTCATTGGAATATTAAGTGGAGAAACATTGGGCTGCGTAATGGATAGCCAGTATTGTTTCCTGCTCAGATTTATGGAGGTAACTTGCAACGGCTTCTTTAATTAGACTTCTTCACTCAAATTGATGATTGTTATTGATGTCAGTTAATTTAAAATTGGTAGGGCGGTGTTACAGTTTGATACTTAGTCGATTATAGGTGATTTAGGTGGAAGTTTTAAGGTACCGTGTTAGTGTAATGCTATTACTGATGGATCGTTATTCACTGTTAATAGATGGTGTTAGTTAAATATATTGAAGATTTTCGTTTTTATTTGTTATTAATTATTTTGATTATTAGTTTTTAATTATATTCAACGAATTGGTTTGTTTGAATTTTAAAATTACGTTTTTTTGACGGTAAAAATTAATTATATCATAATAAATAATACATAACCATCAAAAAATTACACAGGCATGATCCGTTGACTCATACATGTGAAAATGAAATAATGTCAGACAAAACAGATATACTTATTTCACGGATGGAAGGAAGGATTTCAAAGCGAAAGAGTAATGAACGTCGAAGTGATTAAAGATTTACGAAAAGACAGTGGTTTTTGGCAGTTGGTGTTCCTGTCTACACTACAACGGATCCAGCGTGATGATATTTTAGAGATAGATATGATAAAATATCACTCAAGTTTAATATAAACTTTATCTTCACGACAAAAAAATACAAGGGATACAGCGTGATGATATTTTAGAGATACTCGTAGATATGATAAAATATCACTCGAGTCTAATATAAACTTTATCTTCACGACAAAAATTAACTTTAACGTTATTTTTTTAGCTTCATATAGCTAAAAATGACGTCGCCGTTGTGTTTCATTTCTTTCGCTCAAGCGCTAAAGAGGAAAAACTTAATTTTCTGTTAAATTAAAATGGAAATTGATTGGGCCGATAATATATTATAACTAGCTAGTGGGCAAATAGGCCTCTTATCAATGAATCACAATCAGACAATAGTAGCATTTGACATTAAGTAACACAATATGTATGGTTGTCAGGAAATCGTACATGAGTTTTGCAATATGCTTTGGTTTTGAATGGGTTAGTATTGAGCTCGGATTGGTGCGAGTCATTACTGTAGTACTTTGTTGGCTTAATGAATTGACTGATGGCTGGAGAAGGTCTGAACAGTGGTGGGGTTAAGTGGAAACAGCTGATTAATCGTTGCTGTCACTGCCTGCAGTCACTTCGAGTTAATAGGGGAATACTGGAGTGTTTTTGTACCTTTGTAAAATAATCACATTTATTAAAATTTTCATCTTAAAAGTTTTAAAACAAGTTAAGGAATAAATTTTTTCTTCATTTAAAATGTCATTATATGTTTATTTTTAAACTATATGACAATAAATGATTATAATTCATATGTTCTTAAACTGCTTTAAAATTACTTTAACATTAATTTGTTTAAACTCAAGGTCGAGCGCAGCGCTTTCACTAAATGAACCTTCAATAAAAGAAATAAAACGACTACATAAAATCGTAATAAAGAGAAACTACTGAAAAGAGAGAGATAATACTGCAAAATTATTGTCTTAAATAAAATCGAAGCAAAAAGTAGATACATATATAATTATAAATTAAACGATCTTCTATTTTTTATTAAGTAAAGTTCTATTTTAATTGTGTGAACTGCATAAGTATACCAAGTTGTACAAACTTCCATTAAAATTGTCATTAGTTTAAAGCGACTTTACCGATACAATTTTCTTTAGAACCTTCATTAGAGTTTAAAGTTGTCATTAAAACTTAACGGATGTTTGTCCAACTCGGCGATAATCTCGAATAATAATAATGATACTAAGGACTGTCGGAGCACGAGTTTTATCATGAAGAGAAAGAAAGCAGTTAAGTACAATATTATTATGGATATGACTGTAGATCAGTTTTAGTATTTCGATATACAATCAAGAGCAATAATGTTGTTTACAGCAGTAATTTGAATAAGTTAAAGTTCTGATAGTCGCTTTATTTGGTCGAGTGTAGAGATGAGTAGGTAAGTAATTATTCCCGGACCGTCTGGAGCTTGTAATCCCGCGGGATTAGAAAGGGCGGTGTGAATGGTAATAGCAGTTCCCGGAGGTGCTGTGGTGTGATTTACTGCTAAGATTCAATAGTGAATATTTTAAGCTGTGATTTATCTGTAACCCGTTTCTTGTTCTTCAGTGAAATAAGTGTGTTGAAGTTCCTTTTTACACTTTTGGCAATTTATTTTTTAACATATTAAGATCAAGAGATTTGTGGACTTATCTTGTCTTATTTTATAATTGGTATATATTTTGAAACTGTCGCAAATATAATCAAATTGAGTTTTTCAAAAAAAGGTAGATATTATTCTAGGTCCATTACGAATAATCAATTTCTGTCTATTTTGTGTGTTTTTTTTCCTTTTTTGATAAATTTTGATGTTTTGACTATTGCAATAGTAGTTCGAGAATGGATATAAATAGGTAAATAGCTTTTAAACATCATATATACCTATTGCTTAGAACCAAAGTAGCACTTGTAATAAGGAAAACTGTAACAATAAAGCTATCAAAACACCTAGATCCGAAATGATTCAGTTTATTTTCTACATTGAACCCGTGACTCATAGATTGATCTTGAAATCGACGTGCGAGCCACTCAGCTATAGAGAATATATAGATGTCAAATGTGTACAAGACGGTATACATTGATAATGATCCAAGACTAACAAACTAATGACAGAGCTTTAAAAACTTTCTTTCAACATTAGAATTTTTTTTTTTTATATCATTAGAGACTTTCTTTCTATAGCGATGTCTATGAAATATAAACCCTGTTATTTCAAAAGAAGGGATTGTCTTCCATCCATCTCATCTTGGGAACTTATTCTAAAATAATATTTTTGTGACAAGTGAATAAGTCCAGTAACCAAATATATTAAAGAAACCAAAAATACGCTATAAAAAAATAAAAGGAACTTTAGGACGATACCAAATGTTATATATATCATTGGGAATGTCGAATATATTTTGTTTTTTTTTTAATTCGTCGTCTGTCTAATTCAATTCATCGTTGTCATTTGGCAGTAGAGAGTAGGTGACGATGTCTAATGTCAAAAGTAATATCGTTTGATCGAAAACGACGTGCATCGTAGTAGCATACAACACGACGAATCCTCCGATATATCTAAAATCAGTGTAGAGAGTACCACTCCAGGAAGTTCGCGAATGATCTACGGATTCGCTTAGATTATCAAAACCAAATTTTTTAATTCAGGCTTTTACAGAGCACTTATGAAAGTCAAAAACTACACAATTTTCGCTAAATTATAGCGGGGACCTTATACTGAGAAGAACCGACAAGAAACTCAGCAAGGGCTGTTTTTTTCTCCCTGTTTTATTTCACACAGAGAAGTCTTATTGAAAAGTGACTTCATTAGAATATGAAATCACATTCAAATTGGCAAAGTGTGTTAAGATTTCTATCTCATCATCAGCCTATTAATGTCTCCATTGTTGGGCGGCCTTCGCTATAGATGAAATAGAATCAGATCGAATAGGGAGAATGAGACATGACCCACCATACGGACCTGGTGCGGATTGGTGGGCATTAACGACTGCAGATGCACCCGGAACCAACGGCTTAATAATAAATGCCTTTCGAAGCACAGAGAAGCTCGAGATTATAAATTTTTGGTCACCCATTATTATTGCTTTTCAAATATATATATTATAGGCTTTAAATATTTTTCATGGTAAATTATTGCCATATTTCATTTTCTATTGCATATTAAGTATTTATGAGATGTCGAGAGTAATATTGATCAGTAAAAAAACAGTTTGTAGGTACCTATTATTGCAGATAATGGGAACTGAAGTTTGCCTGCGTAAATATTAGCTTGCTTCGTAAAGTTGATTCAACGTGTGTAAACAAGTGCTGTTGAAAAATACATTTAGTATTAAATTAAACTAATTCAATTTAAATCTAATACCTTAAGCACAGATGTTATTCAAAATGCAATTCTCAAGATTGATAATCTAACTCAGGATTTGAATCAGGGAAACGTGAAACCCAAAGGTTTACACTTCCAGTTTATTTCCGCTTCGAAATAAATTCTTGAACACGAATATAAAAGTAAAGGTACTGAATACAGCAGACCGCCTGGACGCCACTATTGCTAGAACGCATAAAACTTAAACCACTTAGGTATTTCGAAAACTGAATGTACTCGTATATAGTTGAGCTTAATCGCTTGGAATAAAATATACGTGTTAACTATAATAATTCGTAAAACCAGACAAATTTTAGGTAAATAAAACAAAAAAATATATATTCGATATATTTTTTGTGTACTAACCTTTTCTTCCTTAGAATTGATAATAGGTTGTTTTGGAAATTATTACAATTATCTTTTTTTATTAAAATTTTAGCGACTATAGTAAATATGGTTTGCTCGTTAAAACTGAGTTAGAGTTCGTACGTTGATTATTCTCTTTGAGATGGGTCAAGCTCATGCACCAACTTTATGAGTGTGCATTCGCATACAGTGTGTAGTTTCACATTATCATTTTAATTAAAATAAAACTCAAGCACGCGAATAAATAGTGAATAGTATTCTATGAAGCAGAAAGTGGAATGTCTCGTATTTTAAATATATATTTTCAATAATCACGGTATATGAGAGAATTTAATTTTTTATTTATTATATAAGTAATCACGTTGTATTTTAACTTATTTCATATCTTCATAAAAAAATATTTGTTTTTCTATATTTAAAGTATATTAGGAAAACATATTCAATATTTTCTTTAAAGAAACTCAAAGCCGGAATAAGATAAAGTCAAATGGTGCGCTAGAAGTTAAACCTTTGAAAACTCGCATTTATTGTGTCAAAATAAAGTATGTTTGCGATAAAAAATCGTTATATGTCCTTTTAGAAAGTCTAAATATTTGCGTATCTAATTTCATTAAAATTGGTTCAGTAGTTTAGGCGTCAAAACGAAACAGACACACAGAGTATAGATCATTTTTTTAAATCTGATATTGAATACATTCTTTAGAATTTACAAACAAGGTAACTTAGCTTATTTCCTGAATATAAAAGAATCAAGTATAAATCTGACAAAGTTACAACGGGAAATGTTAACCACTGTACGTCTTATCGCACGAATTATGTAGTAATTTACAAAATTAAAGTGACCACAAGAATGTAATTGGAATAAATAATACGGACACAACACGCAATCCAATAGTTTACACATTATGTGAGTACTAAAAAGTTGTTTATTTATTTATTTTTCTTACTATTTTTGAGACGAGCTTGTTTGAAAGCAATTTTTGCATTGGTCAAAAAATGATCACTCAGCAGATGGGTGTTTTTTTTGGTGCAAGCTTTGGAAGGCACGTTTAGCCTTTAGTCTCGGCACTATCTGTCGTTTGGACCTACTAATACACACTGCTGTGTTCCACTGGAACCAAGAGGAGGTTATGTAACCCAACAATGGGAAGGTTAATAGATTGATGGTGTTGATGAGTATGTTTCACAGAAAGTACTAGAAAAGCATATTCTAATATTAAAAAAAAACTGTGCAATTAATTACTCTTTAAATCGAAAATCACTTCAAAGAGAAATACCAAAATTTTGCGATAACAAGATGAGCTGCTGTGAGTATGAGTATATAACTAAAAGGCAGCTGTGACGTTACGATGATATATATGTATATGTTTTAATTTAAAATACTGAAAAAATATTATCACTTCTAGATAGATACAAAAACAAACAATTTTAAATGTATAAACTTCTGGCATAAATTTATTTCACTTCAATATTAAACGAGCAATACACACATTATGAGTGAACTCCATCGACAGAAACGTTAACTTCCATAATAAGAACATATTATGTTAATGCGCCGCGTGTTAATGTATGCGCTTTCCTGTAAGCATTTTAGCTGCAATAATTCGAGACACGGGGATGAGTTATTTTATTTACATATATTTGTTTTAGATGATTCGATTCGAATATAAAAAAGAATTCTCTCCATTAGGACTTTTAAACTGATCTCTTCCACGTAAATAATTTTTTCGTTTATTGCTTGATTAATTGAGATAGATCAAATAGATAGACAGGGTAAAGGATGACATATTGCGCATCAAAAAATATTTTGTAATTAATTAGTCGCAAACAATCGATTCAATTATTATAAAAGTGCCCGTAAATATGAAAAAAACAAGTGAATTTTACGGGTAACTTAGTGTTACTTTTTCTATCGATAGCAATTTAATAACTTTGTGTTTTGACTGTATAAAACCATAGAAACACGATGTGATAATTTTATTTTTATTTATTAATCCAATTATTATAGGTTTAATCTACGGGAAAAAATCCTTGTGAGCTGATACACCCTTAATAAAGTGCTTGAAAGATTATGTGAAAAATATATATAGCACCGGCAAAAAAAATTTTTAAAGTCAAAGGTTACGATAATCAATTTGCGTGTATATTTCACGTCCTGTAAATTGAAAGTCAACAAAATCACTAAAAATTTTTTAGTCTTATTATCTACTAGCTGTGTCCATGACTTCGATCGCTTGGAATGTATTCTACGGTACTTATTACATATATTTTGGTATTTGTCAATGAAAGACTCTTCAAAATAGATCTAGATTTCAGATCCGTTTCAGAAATAAGCGGAAACAAACAGACAGGCAGCAGACAAATTATGTAAAAAAATGTTATTTTGGTATATGTATCGTGAATAATGAATCTAGTTAAAAGTTTATGATCGATCGATATTTTGGAAACAAAAAGTCAATTTAGGGGTGCGCAGAATATGCAAATATCTTTTGGCAAAAAACAACAATAGACTACCCGTTATAGACGTTCAATTTTTCAATTTTACCTTTAGTTCTACCTTGTGGACCTCCTCGGGATATAATTTCGCCTCCATCTTCCCTTCTCCAGACTATCTTTGGGGGTGGATACCCTCTTGCTTTGCAGACGAGTTTAGCGGAACCACCTTCTGGTACCATCATGTCTCCAGACGTTTCCTCATAGATTATGTCTGGAGGTATAACTACTTCCAAAAATGCAGTCTGAAATATAAAATATATTTTAGGAACCAATTCTAACAAATCAATGTGGATTTGTTGATTCATTGAAGAACATAATATTATTCTTAACCCCGTATACTATTATTATTAACCCTAGTTCTTGAGTTGGCAATAGGTTCAAGGACAATGTTTTTTTTTATAAATATATTATTCACCCCCCCCCCCCCATATTATGGGGTGTTTGAGACAACGAAGGAATGATACAAAGACCAGAGACAATATAGAAAAGTAAATTTTCTACATCGAACCGACCGGGAATCGGACCAAAGACCTCAGAAATGGCGACACCTGGGAACCGGCGTCTGAACCACTCGGCTACGGACGTTGTCGGTCGTTGCTACTCAGCGAATCCGTTAGTAACCTAGCATTATTTTGTTACTTGAATTACTATTTCGATTAGTAAATATTAAAAGAGTCTTTGATCCTTCTTTAAATATTAATTTAATAATTATTCTCAAATATGATAAATTTCGCATTCACGATGCCATATTTGTTATGTATTATAGAAAAACACTCAATAAATCGATAGACTCAGATACCGCAGATTTTTATCAGAAAAAAATTTGATCCCGCTTTTTAAAAGCTGTTCCATTAAAAAGAATCGCAGCCTGGATCAAAATTATGACAGTTGTAAATTATTTTTTATTGTTTATTTTGTGTCATTTACTTTGTGTCAGTTTCTTTCATGTTAATTTACATAAAGGAAACATTCGACGGCATGCTATACGCGTACCTGCATTTTCATGGGATCCGTGTTAACTTGGCACATGTATTGTCCTCTATCCTCCCTTTTGACCCCTCTTATGTTGAGCGTCCAAGTATTGTAGTCGTTGTGTGTGACGCTGAGCCGAGCATTGTTCGTTATAACATGCTCGTGGATAGCTAAAATCGCCTTTGTGTCCGCTTTGATCCAAGCCACCTGATACCACGTACAACCCAACCGTGCAGCGCCAAAGAGAAACCAAGCAAAGAGGTATTTTAATAAAAAACTAACACAGGTTAACACAATGGAAAAACTTCACATCTCTGAATCGATTATTTGAGCTTATCACGCTGTTAAAAAAAAGAAGGAGACTTTTAGACCGAACAAGTCTAATTACAAGCGAATGCTTCCCGAGAGGCAGTCACGACAACGATCCTCGAGCCGGCAACACTATCTTGTTGTGAGCTCGTCGCAAAATGCTCTCGGAATTTTTAATTACATTTTGGTCTGGTCGCCCGCCGCTATGAGCCACGCTGCGGGCACTCTGTGAAAACGGTACTCGTTTCGCCTCGCTTTACCGAAAGCGTCGACATCGCAATAGAAGCTAATTTCCTGCATAGCGCGTAACAAAAAACGAACAAAAATATGGCGTTTATACTTCTCTGGGGCGCGCTCTGAGTCTGGTATTAAAACTTTATTGTTAAAAACAACATTTACTACTGTACGCTCGGAAGAACGTTCCAATAAGAAGACAATGAGAACTTTGAACGTTGTTTTGTTGCATTCAGTGTATTAATTTTTATCATTAACCTGAACAAATTATACAAGAGCAAAAAAATGAGGCTGACATGAGCTAGATATTATAAATTAAGAAAGTATTTCATTAATATATTCGGGTTAATTATACACAATTATTTCCTTAAACCATTATAAGAAAGAGTGCACTAGAAGGTGTTGGTGCAAAAGGACATAAACGCTACAAGATATTTAGATTTATTTAGTGCATGTGAAACAACACTAATTGTGTCACTAATAAAGATGCCTACAGCAAATTTAAGACTACATAGTGAAAAACGAAAACATCTAATCGTGAAGTGCGAAACAACAAAAATACTTCGATGTTTCCGCTTTGTTTACAAAGACTTACATTCCTTTCTTCGTACTTACAAGCTGGACCGTATCTGCATTATTCAAATGAACTATGAAAGGATTGTAAGGCCGAAAGTGGGATGCAATTCCAAGACTATTTCATTCGTGAAATCGCTTGAGAGCTTATTTATCCTGCTGTTTTATAACTTATTTTATATAAATAAGACGAAAGTATATTGGAATTGCACTGAAATGAAATAAATAAAGAAGAAATTATAGTTACCACATATCCAACTCATCCATACCAGCGGTGCATATCGGAGAGGTGTGTTTTACTATTGGGATCGTGTATTGTACATGCGAAATTTGTTATTTTTGTCGAAATTGTGAAATTTTAAGAAAATATTTTAAAGAAAATAAAATAAAGCCGAAACAAATATTATTGTCCTTGCACTGATCCCTGAATGGTTGACTTAGAAAAATAACATATTTCCTCGTAAATTCGTGATATTTTATTTTTTTAATAATATAAAGTCTACAACAAATGGACCGATTTCATAAATTCTTGCACCAATGAGCTATAATATCAGCGCGTATTATGTAATTTCATAAAGGTGGAACAAAGATTGAAGGTAAATTATATATATAAGCGTAAATATAGTGCCACTAATGATAGTTTTTTATATATTTTATCAACTTATTTTTATAGAACAAAAATAAATTGATCATTAAATTTATGAGGTTTCTTTTTACATAGAAAGAATAACCAGTATATAATTTTATCATTCACGGTCTAAAGGGACTAAAAGAAACGTTGTTATTAGAGTTCTGTAATTACTTACAGCCATAGACGTAAAGCAAATATGTGACGATCGAGGGATTCGGAGTATCGTAAGAATCGAGTGACCCGAACTAACGGTCCCTGGGAGACTATTATCGAATCTTGTTTGCTACGAGAACGTCTCGTGGCCGAATTGAGTGTTTATTTCGGACTATCATCACGGTACATCTGTACCAAATGAAATTATTCAAATTTAGATCTTGATGCACAAAATTTTAGAGCGTCTATGAGCACTTTGAGAGTAAGTAGTAAACAAAATGTTTGTAAGATTTTGAGTGAATTGAACTTTCATTATTCACTATACTACTACTTTTGGAGATTTAGTAATAAAAAAGTAGAAGATGATATATGTTAAAGAAAAACATTAACAGAGTATTATTCGTTAAATCTATAGGTATAACATTAATGATTTTTAAAAGTACTTTTTGTTATCTTTGATAATGTTAACAGTCTTTCTCCCAGTGTTTTCATGTTATCGATTTGTTAGATGTGTAGTAGATTAATTCCCTCGACAGTTTGAGAGCAGTGCCTCTCGAAATGATTGAACGGGGACCAAGGGGTTTGTCTCGGCTTTATTTTAATTTCGTAAAGTGTCTGTTTTGCAACGTAAATGCCTTAGCCAAGGGGAGGGCTAAGACTCCGTGGTCGCCCTCGCTTTATGTTTTGACAATGATTGACTTATCCCTGACGAGTTTCATAGTAAAATATGGAACGTTTTAGGGGCACTTTAAAACAAAAAAGAAGGGAATAAAAGTGCATTCTTGGACAACATGCTTTGATCATTTAGAGTATCAAATTCTGCATAAAAAATTGAATATTAAAACGCAGAATTAGGTACTTCGGTTGCGTGGTAAGTTTACTATAATATAAGAAAAAGTGCATCACAGATTGTGCGAATTAAACGATAAAACTCAAGAACAGATGTTATTATTAATGAGGATAATGTGTTCTTGAATTTTTTGACCTTAAATTTCTGTCTAGTGCAAGTGGTTCATTTCAAACTCTACGTCTATTGTGAAAGGAACAGTTTATTGTGCAGATAATAGTTTGGTGTATACTGCCACAGTATATAAATTTAAACGGAAAGTTAGTCTCACTGAAACAGTTAAATCCGAAAGTGTAGCATCTGCGATCAAGCTATTGATACCATATAGTGCAATGTACAAAAAGCATCCTTCGTAGAACGGACCTCTGTATATCAAATATTGTGTTTTATTGGCTTAATTATTATTTACACTTTTAAAGTGACTTAAGACCAGCTTCTCAAGCCTTTAGTTTTAATGATACATTTCCAGTAATACTTGACATTGTAATATTGTGATAATCGAGGTAATGTTTTAACATATATTTCGCTCGTCTGTTTTTTAAATTAGATTATATAAGTATTCAAAAGGTTTCAGATCAAGACGGTCAATTGATACATTAGAATGGCTACTTAATCTGTGACAAGTTAATACTCTTATGCATAATGTATTGTAATAATTTGATATTAATTAATCCAATAATCAATATTTTACTAAATTATAAAAGAGGAAATAATACAAAATTAGGAACATGTGTTACAGTGAAAGCAAAACTTACTGTTAAAACCAATACACTGTGACGATATTCTATTCTAATTCAGAGAAAGACTATAGATAGTGCTTGTGAGTCAGAAAGTGCGAAGAAGTGCATTGAAGGTTGTGTGCTATATAGTAGGTAAATGTGATTGTCAGTGCAGAATTCTATTTGGGTAAGATTTATAACGTTATTTTATATAACTCTTACACAGCTTTGTATTTTCTTTTGCTGTAGTTACAGTTATTAAAACTTCACGTTTACAATCTGAATTAAATACAGGTATGGTGCTTGAAGCACTCTTTCCAACATAATGTATCTTGATAAATCGAAAAAGGTGCTTATTTGGGTGTACTTGAAATAATACTGAATACATGAAGCGGCTCCTTGCTTACACATATTTTTATTAGCGTCATTATTTTTTGTAGAAATTACAAAGTATAACACCTTTTGAAATCTTATAGACAGGTCCTCATAAGCTTTATTCAAACTAATGTGATATTTCTTTAGTATATAATTTCTATAGAATACCAATCAATAAAAATATTTTTTTTAGATTTAAAATTATTTTTCTTCTCAGATCTTATTAGCGTTATAAATCTGTACCCTTTAGTGCCGAGTGACTGTGCTCCTCTAGTGCTAGCTGTAATGAGTCAGTTTGATACACACCCTGGCAGTGGCGGAGTCGCCACTCACCCTGTAACCACCGAGGTTGTTCACCACACAAGTGAACATGGCATCACGACCCTGCGCGATAGTCACGTTCTCCAACGGGTACAGAAAGTCCGGTTCCAGACCTAATGCTGAAACAAGAATGTAAAAATTAAAATTTCGTTAACTTATAAACAGTTTTTATATGTACTGACAAGAAATTTTTAAATGTAGAACCTTCGTTGGAGATTAAAGCCGCCATTAAACCTTTAATATATGTTTTGGATAGTAATTTCTACACACAGTAATTTACGGGATTGCTTCAATGCACCTTATTTTTTAGGCCAAAATTTTTCTGCAATGTTGTAAGTGTCGTGATATGTGGCCATTATCATATATACTTTAGTGTATTAATAATTTTTTTTTGGAAAAGTTATCAGAAGCAATTAGAAAGTAGGTAATAAAATAAGATATCTTGTTGTTGCTTATTTTTATTGTATTGTGCTCGCTATAATAATAGCATGTGTAATTATTAAAAGCCGTTAAGGGGTAAAATAAGATATTATATTTTTTATACGTGGCAATAAATTATAAACGTTAAATAATAAAACCATTTTGTAACATTTGGCTTTCACAGCTTGACGTGAATTAAATGTGTACATAACTGCAAAAACTTGAGAACCATTGAACTATTTTGATATACATATTATCTATTCTTAATGAAAAATACTTAAAAAATCCACTTGGTCCCTGGCACCCTAAGATTTTATCATTAAGAATATTTTTTAATGTAGCATTGTGAATGCAAGATTGATCAAAAATATAATAAATACATTTTTTTTTTATACATTATCAACAAAGTTCAAAGGATAAAAGTAAAAACTCTTCTTATTAGTAATTTTTTTTAAAAGGGCCTTTGTCTTTTTCTATCTTCATAAAGGTATTAAATATTTGACATGAATATAAAATAAAAACGTTTAGTTTTTCTGGAGAAAAGAGAAATAAAGAATAAGGAACGGCAGACTGCATGTCGATAATTATCTTTATCCCCATTGGAGTTGAACTCGTTCACTAATCACAGATATGCAATAAATATATAAAAGAAAAATGACAGAAAATTTTCTCTAATCCTCATGTTTTATAACATAATTTTAGTAATATGGTTCAAATATTTTCGAATCATTGGCAAAACTTCGCTTCTCGCCATTTATGCAAATCGTAATCGCGTCGCAGACGTCGGGGGCGAAAATCACTTACTGCGCCAGTAAATTCGCGATATCAATGCCGTGGTCCTCATGAATAAAAAAATCGAAGGTTCATTGTGATATTTCTTAGGTTAAACAGTTACTGGTTCTTCGATTTCAACGTTTTCGCAGCATAGGTATTCTCATTACCTACATGCATAACTTTTTCGACTTATCTGTGATAGAAAATTTTGTAAAAGAGCTTGTATTGGGTTTCAATTTCATGACCGTAGCTTTTAGCTTTTGTTGAAACGAAAGAAAAGACGTCTCTGATACTTACTAGCGTGAGTTCATTCCAAAAGTCAAAGGAGGTGGAGGTAATAAGGACAAGCTCACTTCTGGTCGAGAGACTGGTTTTTAATATCGCTTGAATAAAACTGAAAACGTTTTCATTTTAGGAATTAGCATAGAAAAATATTTTTTCTTAATGTTCCTACTACAATATAAGTTTTCTCTATGGATGGAATCAAATAGGGATAACATGTCTATACAAGACTATTGCGGGTTTTGTTGTGTATTACGATCACAAATGCTGCTGAAACTAAAGGCTTAATAAGTTTTCTGAAGAACAAACTAGTTCAATTTTTGATCACAAATCCTATGACTTGCCTTTGCGAAAGTTGCTTAACTTGCCATTGAGCTCCAGAGATGACGAATATTATAATAAAAAATAGAAAAAATAAACGAGTCTTAGGAGTAAATTAGATGTGCACGTCTGTTATAAATTAAATAAAGACAGAACGTTAGATAACGCTTAAACTGTGACTTTTACACTTGAGCTGGCGCGGATGATTTATATTGGAGAGTCCCACAAAAATATCCCGGGGAGTAAGTATTGTCGGGATAGCTGGAGGCGTCAATATTCTACGTGACTGCCCTCGTGTCGACCAAGGAAACATGTGTCGGATGTGAGAACTATCTATTTGCTGGCAGAATCGCCTTACCAAATCATTTGTATGACCAAGCGGGTTAGATAAGATTACATCTGCATTCGTTGGCATACTATTGTTGCTGGAATTGAAGTTGACATTGTAAAATACTTTTGAAGATAACCATTTCAGGGATGTTGACTATAAGAGTCTGGAATTACATTGTTTCCTTTGTTTAAAAGCAGCCATAGTTTTATGAAATGCTACAATGGTGTCTCAAATATTAATGGTGGCAGACGAAAAATTGTACCACAAATTTTCATTAGATAAAGACCTTTTGCCATGAGCGTCGCAACTTAGAAGAAAAGTAAAAATCGTCGATCTACTTGACGAATGACTTTTATTGCCTTTTCTGATATGAGACAGAACTTGTTATTATTTGAGATAATGAATGAGTAATAAACATATTTTTTTTAAGTTTGTGGCATACGTGACGAAGATGATATTTCGTTGGTCGCAGAAGATTATATGATACTAACTTTCCGCTAGCGGCTACTGTTTATTTGGATGTCAATTCATTTCATGTAACAGATATAATTACTACGACAAATTAAAAAGTAAACAATGGTAACGTTTAAATTCCCTATACAACCTTCCATTCCCAATTTCATTCATTTATTTGCTGTTTTTTTGCTATAAAACATAGCATATGTTCACCACATATTATGTAGGTGAAAATTTTTAAAAAATCGGTCCAGGTCTACGTCCCGGTGCCTATTCATTGCAAACTAAAACAAATAATTAAATCTTTCCTCTTTTTAATATTACTATACTACGAAAATTCCGTCGCCTACCTATTGATGCATACTTAATGAGACGTTTGATGGATATTTCGTCAAATTTGCAGCGAACCTCATGTATAATCTTTTATCAGTCAGTTGCACAAACGTCCATTAAGGTTTAATGACGCTTTTAAACTCTAATGAATGTCAAATTTGTATGGGTAATGTCGCTTTAAACTAATGAAAAATATCATGGACGTTTGTGCAACTGGCTATATATCTCACAAAAGTTTTACTATAAGGGTTTAAAATGTAATGTAAATGTAATTACAGATTTTGGTCCAGAATAGCATTACTGTAATATTTTCTTTCAATATTCATAATATATATATATTTCACTATCAACTGATTGAGTTGTGAGGCTCGTCAATATTTTCTTTTTCTGTTTTATTGTACGATATTTAATTTCATTCAACAGTCAATAAAACAATGAAAAATCTCCTCGCTCATTTCACCGAACATAAATAGATGCTAGTAGTATAATGCAAAATTGCTTGTTTGTACGTGTAAAATGGAAAACGTGATTGCAATCTGTATTTTGCACCCCAGCGAGATACATTGCTATGATTTATTTATTTGCGATGTAGTCTGCGTTACTGGCGTTACGGAACGTAATTCACACTGGTGTCATAAAAACATAAGTTGTATATTATTTCAAAAGTTCAATGAAAATCGTCTGAATTTAAAAATAATGCTAGTTGGGAAAAGGCTTAAGAGCTTTTGTTTATGAATTTTAGATGATCCTTACCTATTTTTAAATGTGCAGCGGTGTGCACGGCATTTGAAGCAACGTACGTAGTAGATAAATTATAACCATACAGTTCAATATTGGTAATGTGTGTTATATAACAGGGTTCTCTGTGCATACACTAATCAGCTTATTTATGACTCGATTGTGGATCTTTGTGAATAGCGCAACGCGGATCCAGTATGGATTAGAGACTGCTAATTGATAATCTCTCGATTGCGGGAATAATTATACATACTTTCTACGAAGAACTAAGGAGGACACGAGACAATAAATTTATTGATTACTCATCCAATATTTTTAGCCTCAGATCACAGTGAAATAACAATATCGTTGTATATGTTTATCGAATACTAGCTTTCCGTCAGCGGCTTCGCTCACCTGATCACTAAGGAACTGTTTATTTGTATCATTACACTGATATAATTACTATGATAAATTGAATAATAAATAAAGGTGACTATAGCAACGTTTTAATTATCCATACATACTTCAACTCTCATTTTCAACCCATCATTTGCTGTTTTCCTGTATAAAATATAGCCTATGTTCAACGCATATGATTTAGCTTTCCGTAGGTGAAAGAATATTTAAAATAAGTTCAATAGCTTCGGAGCCTATTCGTTTCAAACAAACAATCAAATCTTTCCTCTTTATAATATTATAATATAATTTATAGATTTAAGCTGATAGTATATGTAACAGAGCCGAAGGAGGTGAATGAAACTTATTATCTTCATTGGGTACAATGATACATATGTTTTAAGATTATTAAAATATAAAAAAAATCTATTGCATTCTCCTACAGCCAGATTATAGAGAAAATATTAAATACATTTTTTTTTCTATTCAATCTAACAAGAAATGGCTTAGATAATAGACATTAAAGTGTGGAGTCGCTACGTCACAATTATATAGAAAATGTACTAGGGTGTGACGTCATATGACATTTCAACTCAATATGTCGTCATAATTAATCGATCACAAATAAAAATACGAGTTTAATATTCTTCATTTATGTCACATGAAAACGAAGAAACAAAGAAAAACATAATTTTTAATCCCTTCTTTCCATATGGATAGTAGCTCAGTGGCGTAGTGGATAAGCGCCGCGGCCCGCGATTGTAGTCGTTAAGCAACTTTCGCAAGGGTCGGTCACGGGATGGGTGACCAAAAAATTATTATCTCGAGCTACTCCGTGCTTTGGAAGGCACGTTAAGCCGTTGGTCCCGGCTGCATTTGCAGTCGTTAATACCCTCCAATCCGGCCCGCATTGGGCCAGCGTGGAGGTTCATGACCCATCCTCTTTAACCATCCATAAGGAAGGCCTGAGCTCCTGCAGTGGGGACGTAAAAGGGCTGGTGGTGGATATGGATTAATGTGCGTTTACTTTAAATAGCTATAGTTCTTTTAAACATGTATGATAACTTCAAAAAGTCTACATAATGTTTGGCAGCAATAAAGGTACAAATGACATTTTAATTAGGACTGGCATATATACGGACGTCCACGCGCTCGACCTCTAATGGCTCACCTACATCGCAGGGACAAATGTCGTCAAGCCCAAATGCCAAAACCTATGCCTTTGCCTGTGTAATGCGTTATACTACGGTATTTCAGTCGATGCTAAAAGCTCATAGTTTCATTTCCATGACTAATTTGACAACTGTTATCATGTTTGCTTTGTTACAGTTAGTACATGTTATTTAAATGGACTATATTAATGAATACAGTCTATTTAGACAATGTACTGCATTAGTACTAAGTGTATCAAAGCAGATAGGATAATAGTCCCGTGAGAATGAAAACACGTAGTTTTAAATAATCTATAACTTGTTATTTATTCACATTTTATTTTAGTCTTG